TGGCTCAAGTGGTAGAGCGCTAGCCTTGAGCTGAAGAGCTGAGGGACAGCGCCCAGGCCCAGAGTTCAGGCCCCACGACCGGACCCAAAAAAAAAAAGCTGGAAGTGGAGCTGTGGCTCAAATGGTGGAGCACTAACCTTGAGCATAAAAGCTCAGGGACAGTGTCCAGGCCCTGAGTTCAAGCCCCAGGACTGGCATCAAAAAAAAGGGGGGAGGTTGATAATTTGCAGGGGAATTTGCATGGCTATGCCTGTTGCTACCTATTGTTCCTGCAAACCACCACCCCTTGTTTCCTAACACATTATAGAGTTCAGACGCCTTACCAAGGCACCAAGACTTCCTGATCTGGTCTAATTAATTAAAAAACTCAACCCTCCACTCTGTGTGCCTTTGCCATGACATTCAAGTCTCCATTCTCCTATGTGTCACCTATTTTCATACCTCTTTTTCCCTTTGTTTATTTTCCACCAACTAGCTTGGTGGTGCCAGTGGGTCATAATGGTAATCAACAAACTGAGGGCTGGGAATGTGGCTTAGTGGTAGAGTGCTGGCCTAGTATGCTTGAAGCCCTGGGTTTGATTCCTCAGTACCACATACACAGAAAAAGCTGGAAGTGATGCTGTGGCTCAAGTGGTAGAGTGGTAGCCTTGAGCTAAAGAAGTTCAGGAACAGTGTCTAAGTCCTGAGTTAGGACTGGCAAAAAAAAAAAAGAGTTTAAGACCCACCTAGTGCTCTAATCCTAGCTACTGAGGAGGCTGAGGTCTGAGGATCACGGTTCAAAGTTAGACCGGGCAGAAAAGTCCCCAGGACCACTCAGAAAATGGAAGTGGAGCTTTGGCTCAAAGTGGTAAAGCACTAGCTTGGAACAAAAGAGCTCAGGGGCAGTACCCAGGCTCTGCGTTCAAGCCCAGCGGCTGGCATAGTGACTCATGCATGAAATCCTAACTACTTAGGAAGCTGAGATCTGAAGACTGAAGTTCAAAGCCAGCATGGGCAGAAAAGTCCATGGAACTCTTACATCCAATTTATGACCAAAAGCCCAGAAATGGAGCTGCAGCTCGAGAGATAGAATACCAGCCTTGAGTGAAAAAGAGATCAAGCTCCAGTACACACACACACACACACACACACACACAAAGTACCTAATATACGTTTGAACTGAGTCTCCTGTCTCAGGATTTCTACCTCAGTCTGTGTTTCCCCTTACTGCACCCTTCCTCCTAGGCTGCCCCACATACATGGACGTTGTTATTGTCTTGGATGGCTCCAACAGCATCTACCCCTGGTCTGAAGTTCAGACTTTCCTGCGGAGGCTGGTAGGGAGACTGTTCATCGATCCTGAGCAGATACAGGTTAGTGCAGGCAATATGGACAGGCTTGGGGGAAGAGGGAAATGCAGGCCACACCTTCCATCGTATCCAGATGTTCATCTCCCTTCTCTCCCCTCTGTCTCTCCCTCCTCCACTCCCTTCCCACACTCATCCCACGGGGTGCACATGCTCTTGTCAGGTGGGGCTGGTGCAGTATGGGGAGAGCCCTACCCATGAGTGGTCCCTCGGAGATTTTCGGACCAAGGAAGAAGTGGTGAGAGCAGCGAGGAACCTCAGTCGGCGGGAGGGCAGAGAAACCAAGACTGCTCAAGCAATAATGGTGGCCTGGTGAGGCTGTGAGAGGGGCATGTAGGAGGGTGGGGCCGTGAAGGATGGAAAGGGGGTGGGGCCGCTTGGCAGGTAATGTGTATGTAGCAGGACACTGGCATGCTTGTCTCTGTGCACACCACATGTGCATGGAGGAAAGCTAAGTTGTGATTGCATTCCCTCTTGTATTTCTACACAGGGTCTAGGTTGGGTGTACGTGTGCACCTGTAGTGGGGCTTGAACAAGTTAAGGCCTGGGCTCTCCTTAAGGTTTTTGATCAAGGCTAGCACTTTACCACTTGAGCTATACCTCTACTTCTGACTTTTTGGTGGTTAGTAGGAGATAAAAGTCTCATGGACTTTTCTAACCTTGCTGGCTTTGAACCATGATCCTCAGATCTCAGCCTCCTGAGTAGCTAGGATTTACAGGGGTGAGCTATTGCTCCTGACTTCCATGTCTTTATTTATCTCTGTAGACAGTACTCCAGCCCTCTACTCAACTGGGACTGTGGCTCTCAGCTTCTCCCCCACTCATGCTGTAGCCACCTTTGCAAGCCTGATCTAAAACTCATGCCTGGGAGACCCTCCTGACTTGATCCTGACTTGAAGACAGTTGTCTTCCCAAATCCAATGTTTGTTGAATGAATGCAGTTTGTGATCATTTGCACTTGTGTGGTGCATTCTTGATGTTCTGTGGCATTCAAATCTTGAGCTGTGCTTCATTGATTCTGTGCCTGTTTCCATGTTAGACATTGTTGGGAAATGGCCGGAAAGACAACATGCCTGACCTCAGTGAATTACTGATAGCATTACATTTTATGTGTGCCAGGTGCCAGTGACTCATGTCTGTAATCCTAGCTACTCAGGGGGCTAGGATCGAGGTTTGAAGCCAGCCAAAGGCAGAATAGTCTGTGAGACTCTTATTTCTAATTAACCACCAAAAAAAAAAAAAAAAGCCAGAAGTGGAGCTGTGACTCAAGTGGTAGAATGCTAACACACACACACACACACACACACGAAATTGTATGTGTGTGTACATGTGATCGTGCGTCATTCATTTCTCTCTCCTCTCAGCACAGAGGGATTCAGCCAGTCCCGGGGTGGCCGACCAGAAGCCGCCAGGCTACTGGTCGTTGTCACAGATGGAGAGTCGCATGATGGGGAGGATCTTCCTGCAGCGCTGGAGGCCTGTGAGGCAGGCAGGGTGACCCGCTATGGAATCGCGGTGAGAACCACTCTGGATCTAGAAGGATTAAGGATTGTGAACTTGAAGAATAGAGGCCTTAACTACCTCCTGGTCTTTAGCCCTGCCTCCCTCCCTTCCTTTCAGATGGTATTGTTCTGTCACTCCTTACTTCACAGAGAATGGGCACCATCCTTTTGTCTTTCTTGTATTTTCTTTTTCTTGTTTTCTTTATCATTAAGTAGTTGCACAAATAGGTTTCAATTCAATGTCATCCATATCACTTTGATCTTTCTCCCTCATCTCTCCCAATCCCACCCACCCCTTCAACTTTCCTGGTTCCATTTTCACATCATTTACATTGAACTTCCATATATGAGAGAGAGCATGCGTCCTTCATCTCTCTGAGCCTGAATTACTTCACTTAAAATAATTTTTTTTCCACTGGGCGCCGGTGGCTTGTGCCTGTAATCTTAGCTACTCAGGAGGCTGAGATCTGAGGATTGCAGTTCAAAGCCAGCCCGGGCAGGAAAGTCCATGAGACTCTTATCTCCATTTAACCACTAGAAAACCAGAAGTGGGACTGTGGCTCAAGTGGTAGAGTGCTCGCCTTGAGCTGAAGAGTGCAGGGATAGCACCCAGGCCCAGAGTTCAGGCCCCACAACCAAAAACAAAATAATTTTTTTCCAGGCCCATCCATTTGTATGCAAATGATGGAATCTCATTCTTCCTGGTACATGAGTAAATTCCATTATGTAACAGATGCCATCTTGCTGTCTTGGCCTCAGGTCCTTGGTCATTACCTCCGACGGCAGCGAGACCCCAGCGCTTTCCTGCGAGAAATCAGAGCCATCGCCAGCGATCCAGACGAGCGTTTCTTCTTCAACGTCACTGATGAGGCTGCGCTAACAGACATTGTGGATGCCCTAGGAGACCGAATTTTTGGCCTTGAGGGTACTGCTTGCCCCAGAAAATGGGAGGTGGCAGAGTGTGTCGGAGATAGGGCTGGAGAATAAGTGGGGTTCCAGAATGAAATGTGTAGGTCAAAAGGAAACTGTCTTCTTCTGATAGCATGCTGCTGTTTTCTCATTCACAAGGGTCCCATGGAGAAAATGAAAGTTCCTTTGGGCTGGAAATGTCTCAGATTGGCTTCTCCACTCATCGGCTAAAGGTTGGACAGACTCTGACCCCTCCATGCCAGCTCCCAGCCTCAGATTCACTTATGAGGGGTTGGAGGCATGGCTCTGTTGGTAGAGGGTCAGCCAATGAGCGAAAGCGTCAGGTACAGAGTGGAATCCTGGTTTCAGGCCTTAAAAAAATAGATTCAGTTATGGGTCCCTCCAATTTTTTTCTTTTCTTTCCTTCCTCCCTCCCTCCCTCCTTCCCTCCTTCCTTCCTTTCTTCTTTCCTTCCTTCCTTTCTTCTTTCCTTCCTTCCCTCTTCCTCCTCCACCTCCTCCTCCTTTCTCTACTTCCTCCTCATCCCCCTCTTCCCTCCTCTGTCAGTACTAGGGCTTGAACTTAAGGCCTCATTCACCTTTTCCACTCAAGGCTGGCACTCTTTCACTTGAGCCACAACTCCACTTCTGGCTAATTGACTGGTTAATTGGAGATAAGGGTCTCTGGGATTTTTCTGCCCAGGCTGACTTTGAACCACAATCCTCAGACCTCAGCTTCCTATCTAGGATTACAGGTGTTAGCCACTAGTGTCCCAGCTGACTTTTTTCTCCTTATTCCAGACTGCCTTCTCAATAACTCCACCTGGTTCTTCCCTGCAGGATGGGATTCTTTTTGGGATGGTGGGCGCCTATGACTGGGGCGGCTCAGTGCTCTGGCTTGAAGAAGGTCGCCGCCTTTTCCCTCCACGTACAGCTCTGGAGGATGAGTTTCCCCCTGAATTTCAGAACCATGCAGCCTATTTGGGTGAGCAGAAGGGGACTGCGAGAGAGAGGGGACCTAGAGGGCCTGCCTCTCAGCTTGTGCTGTTATCCCCACATCTCCTGTGTCTTTGAGACGCCCCCTCCACTCTGAGCCTCCTTCCCCCCTTTCCTCTTAGATGCCTTGTTCTCTTCTAGGTTACTCTGTTTCCTCCATGCTTCTGCGGAGTGGACGCCGCCTCTTTCTCTCAGGGGCTCCTAGGTTCAGACATCGAGGAAAAGTGATTGCCTTCCAGCTGAAGAAAGATGGGGCTGTGAGGGTCGCCCAGAGCCTCCAGGGGGAACAGGTATGCCATCCTGAAGGGTTGGGGGCGGGGAGGGGGGGAGCGAGGGAAGGGATGACACTGTCCAAAAACAAACGTGCTCTTTACCTGACTTACGTAACTGTAACCTCTCTGTACACCGCCTTTATAATAACAATATATTTTTTTTAAAAAGAAGGGTTGAGGAGCCAGGGCACCGGTGCCATTCAGTAAATTGAGATATAAGAATCATAGTTTAAAGCCAAGCCAAGCAGGAAAGTCCACCAGGCACTTACCTCCCATCACCCAAAAGCAGAGAGACAGAGACAGACAGACAGAGAGAGCCAAGAGAGAGAGAGAAAGCGCACAAATGGTAGAAAGTCTGAATTTTGGTGGGCAGAGTTTATTAGGGATGTGAGGATCAGATTGGCAGATTGGTGCACGTTTCCTGCCGAGGCCACTTGTCCACATTACCTTCCCTTTCCTCTGGGGTCACCACCACTCATCACTTCCCAGATTGGCTCCTACTTTGGCAGTGAACTTTGCCCTTTGGATACGGATAGCGATGGAACAACAGATGTCTTACTTGTGGCTGCTCCCATGTTCCTGGGACCCCAGAACAAGGAGACAGGCCGTGTCTATGTGTATGCTGTGGGCCAGGTGAGACTTCCGGTATCACCCAGGACTTGATGGATGGGGGTGGATGGGAAGAGGATGGCACATCCCTCCTGGAGGGGGCAGGAATGTCAAATGTGCGTTTCCTGTGCGCCCACTCCACCAGCAGTCTTTGCTGATGCTCCAAGAAACACTTGAGCCGGCAGTCTCCCAGGACGCTCGGTTTGGCTTTGCCATGGGAGCTCTTCCTGATCTGAACCAAGATGGTTTTGCCGATGTGGCTGTGGGAGCACCTCTGGAGGATGGACACCAAGGAGCACTGTATCTCTACCATGGAACCAAGAGGGGAGTCAGACCTCGTGCTGCCCAGGTCAGGAATGCCCAGAACAAGTGGGGGACACACCTGGACCCGTAGCTACTCAGAAGGTTGAGATCTAAGGATCAAGACTGGAAGTGAGGCCAGGCAAGAAAATGAGTCTGTTATTCCTAATGAACCATCAAAAAGCCTGCAGTGGAGATGGGACTTAAGCGCTAGAGCTCCAGCCTTGAGTGGAAAGAAACTCAGGAACAGTGCCTAGGCTCTGAGTTCAAGCCCTAGTACCTGCATAAGGAAAAAAAAATTAAGGGAAGGAAGGAAGGAAGGAAAGAAAGAAAGAAAGAAAGTAGGGAGGGAGGGAGGGAGGGCCTGGCAGAAAAACTAAGAAGCAGGTCTGTGAGTCCCTGCCTCAGTCTCCATTCTCTTCCACCCAGCGGATTGCTGCTGCCTCCATGCCACAGACCCTCAGCTACTTTGGCCGAAGCGTGGATGGGCGGTTAGATCTAGATGGAGATGATCTGGTAGACGTGGCTGTGGGTGCCCATGGGGCAGCCATCCTACTCAGGTGAGGGGCTCTGGTTCTGGTGTGGGGGAGTTCTGGTTCTTGTAGTGGGGGGCAGGTGAGGGGCTCTGGTTCTGGTAGCAGGGGAAGTACTGCATAGAAGCACAGGACACATCTAAGTCAGAAACTTAGATTTGGGTTTCTTGGTCATCTTCTCCTACATCCCAAGTTTATAGGATGAAAACTTATGGTTTATTGTAAAAGTCAAATCAGTCAATCTAGGTGTTTACTTCATTGAATCTGTTATCTGACTCTGTGTGTGTGTGCTCATGCACGCAGGTCCTGGGGCTTAAACCCAGGACTGCATGCTCTTGTCTGGCTTTTTCTTTTAAGACCACTTGAATCACACCTCCACTTCCAGTTTTTTATTGGTTGACTTGAGAGAAGAGTCTCTCAGATTTGTCTGCCTGGGCTGGCTTTGAACTGTGATCCTCAGATCTCAGCTTCCTGAGTGGCTAGATGACTGGTGTGAGCCACCAGCGCCCAACTCATTCTTTGTTCTGACCATAGGAAGGAAAGCACCAAGGTGGTACTTGTTTTTTCTTCTTTTTCTCCTGCTCCTACTCTTCCTTCTTTTGGTGCAGGAGTCCCTCCAGCGCCTTATGCACAGTCAGCAAATACATGAGTTCTATCCCCAGCCTAGGCTCATACCTTTTTTCCCCCCTTTTCTTTGTGCCAGTAGTGGGGCTTGAACTCAGGCCTGTGATTTTTCTCTCAGGCCTGGCTCTCCCCTTGAAGTCACACCTCCATTTCCAGCTTTTATTTATTTCTTGGTGGCTCATTGAAAATAAGAGTCTCATGGACCTCCCTGCCTGGGCTGGCTTCCACCTTTGAATCTCAGATCTCAGTCTCCTGAATGGCTAGGATTATAGGTGTGAGCCCCCAGACTCCGGCTGTCCAAAGGCTTCTCCTTTTGCCGCTAGAGTATCTTCCCTGCCCTGGTCCCAGCTCCAGACCCATTGTCCACTTGGCTCCATCACTCAATGTGACCCCGGCAGCCATCAGCGTGGTTCAGAGGGACTGTAGGCGGCGAGGCCAGGATGCAGCTTGCCTGACCGCAGTCCTTTGCTTCCAAGTGACGTCTGACACCCCTGGCCGCTGGGATCGCCAATTTGGTGTGTGACTCAATCCTCAGCCCCTGCCCCACCCCTCCCCCCAGGGCTCTGCATCCACCGCCATGCTCACCCTTGCCTCTTCCATTCAGACATAAGATTCACCGCATCGCTGGATGAGTGGACAGCCGGGGTCCGGGCAGCCTTTGATGGCTCTGGCCAGCGGCTGTCTCCTCGACGGCTCCGACTCAGTGTGGGGAATGTCACCTGTGAGCAGCTCTGCTTCCACGTGCTGGTGAGCAGGGGGCAGGGCCTCGCGGCAAAAGGAGCAGGCCGGGTCCCAGCAAGGGTGTGAATCAGCAAGAATGCAGAAGCAGGGAATGGGAGATGATTCAGATGGGCATTTGAATCCTGCTCTTCACCACTGGCAACTCTCCCGTGTCACTTCACATCTAACACTCAGTTTCCTTGTCTGCAATAATAGTAACTATTTCACTGAAGTTGTATCACTGGTGACTCACGCCTGTCATCCTAGCTACTTAAGAGGCTGAGATCTGAGGATCGTGGTTCAAAGCCAGCCCAGGCAGGAGACTCTTATTTACAATGAACCAGCAAAACAGCAAAAGTGTAGCTGTGGCTTGAGAGCACCAGCCTTGATCAAAAAAGCGAAGGGACAATGCCTAGGCTCTGAGTTCAAGCCCCAGTACTAGCACAAAGAACAAAGTAGGCAATTTCAGAAGTATTTTTAAAACCTTAGCACAGTGCCTAGGACATGGAAAGTTCTCCATTAATGATCATTTCAGCAGTACATTTTACCAGGGACTGGAGTTGTACCCAGAACCTGGTTCCTCACCATGTCTGACTTGGATTTCCCACAGGATACCTCAGATTATCTCCGGCCGGTGGCCTTGACTGTGACCTTTGCCGTGGACAACTCCACAAAGCCGGGGCCTGTGCTGGATGAAAGTTCACCCACCTTCATAGGAAAGCTGGTTAGGAGTACTAAGCTCCACCTTGCCTCTGGGTTCCACTACTACCTACCCAGTGATTTCAGGAGAGAGGGGTGGGGGGAGTGAATGGAGATGGAGGGGCTGCCCTAATCAAAGTACACCTACTTTTTCCCTTCACTTTCCTCAAGTTCCATTCCTTTCTCCTTGCCTTCTCCTCAGCCCTCCTGACCCAACCTTGTCTCTCTTCCAGATCCCCTTCTCAAAAGACTGTGGCCCTGACAATGAATGTATCACTGACCTGGTGCTCCGAGCTAATATGGACATCAGAGGGTCCAGGTGTGTGTGTGGTTACTTTTCTTTCTGTGTGCTGGTTCTAGGACTTGAACTCAGAACCTTGTGCTCTTGCTTAGCTTTTCACTCAAGACTGTTTTCTCTACCACTTAAGCCACACTTTCACTTTCCACTTTTTGCTGGGTAAGTGGAGGTAAGAGTGTCTTAGATTTGTCTGCCCAGGCTGGCTTCAACCTGTGAGCTTCTGATCTCAGCCTCCTGAGCAGCAAGGATTATAGGCCCGCCCACCTTGGGGGAGGAGGGATTGTTTCTTTTTCTTTTTCTTTTGTTTTACTTAATGTCCAAGCATTTTTAATGTATACTCCTATGCAATATCACTTTGCTTCTTCTTTTTTTTTTTTTTT